CTTTTCTGTCAACCCAAAAGACAACTTTCAATGCAAGTAGAGGCACGAAATTGCACCCACAATGTGCTGTTATAGCAATAATAAGCCTATTGTACACAGAAACAGAGATAGCTGAACTTGAAATTGGCATTTTGTACTAACCGCCCCCCTCCCCACCCCACATGAGACACTTTCTGTCTACGCAAAAAACAACTTTCAATGGAACTTGAGGCATCAAATTGCACTTCCAATGTGATATAAGTATGCTCTATTGCAGAAATCAGTGACAGTGGTCTTAATAACCCTAGGCCTAGTGCACATATACTGATAAATCTAAACATGGCATTTTGTAACAGGTGCCTCCTTCCCTATATGCAAGGTGTGCCAACGGCATGTCGTCTTCACCGAAGTCTTCGCTGGAGCTGCATGGGTCCTCGTGACCTACAGAAATCAAAGCCACAAAAAGGGTATAGTTGGTTGTCATTATTAAGTAAGTTAATTCAGAAAACACAGCAATGTGACATCAGCACTTTGGAAAGGGAAGTACAGTCAAACCTGTCTATAGTGCCGATGCGATGGCGAACCCACATCATGGGCCACTTCTGGGATGGCGAAGCTGCGCCAGAGGTGTCTCCTCGTCGCTGGATTCACTGCTCTCTGCTGGAGATACAGAAACAAAAGACATACATGTATTTAGCAATAAAGACACATTATTCAACATAATACAAAGTCACTGACTTGAGTGAAATAGTGTGTAAGTGATTTCATTCAGCTCACCTATTTGTACAGCGCGACGTGACGGAGCTGCGCCATAGGAGTCTCCTTAGCTTGGATCTTTTTACAGGTGTGAGAGCATAAGTATGTTTGCGTGTAGCGAACATTTCCAGGACATCCCAGTTTGTGAGGGACTGGAATGTACATCTTGATGTGGGAAGTCCATCTTCGTCTAGCCTATAAATCAGATAAATTACAGAAGGAAATGAATAATTGAACATACATAAAAAAATTGAACATACATAAAAAATTAATGAATTCCATACATGGTACTTAAAAAAAGGTCCTACACACAAGCAATAATGAAATCACCATAATAAATCCTAGAGACAATATTTGTTTTATTCTGAACCCTGGAAGAATTTACCCCATGGCTAGTGAGTTTCTTATGTAATGAATACAAAATATATGAACACAATAAAATTTGTGCTACCACAGTCAATAAATGAATTTAAACCCAGAGAAATAAACTAAATTAGGAGTGTATAAAGTACGCAACATGTGGCTGATTCGAGATCGGGATACTATAGGCAAAACCTTCTTTCCCAAAAATGGTATGAATTATAAAACAAAACTGCAACTGGAAACATGTTGGTGCGCCCCCCTCCCACCGCCACCCATAACATACCATAACAAGAAAATGTTCTAAATTCGCCGTCTATTTACGAGGTACAAGACAAAGAAAATCTATCACATAATGTCTACAAACTATATATGCGTGCTTTGACTGTAGCTTGAGTGAAACAAACTCGATTACGTGTCGAAAACTCACCGGAAAGTTACGTCCTTCATGCCTCTGGACAGCAGGGAAAATGGCGGCGCCTTGAAAACGTCGTCTCTCCGACTGACACTCTCCGCGCCGATGGCCATCGCACGAATATTATTGCTTCTATGGCCACGAAAATCCACACAAATGTGAACAACACTGCTACCTACACACACATTCTATGCGGAGTTTGATATCTTTAAGAAATTTTGAGTTACTACGTGAAGAAAAATGACCTATTTTCAACACCGCACGCACTAACCCTGCACTGCACCAAGCTATCCCCGCATAGGCAAGTTGGTTTCTCCCAAATATTAGCTTTCAGAAGCTGGTCTTGGATTGGCTGTACGACTTATTTCAGCGAAGCGACGACCAATCAAAGTTAGTATTACATCTAGGCCCATTCTGGGCGCGCGCACTTTGAAATTGGGGTATGGGATTTAATACATTAGCGCAGGCGCCATTTTGAATACGCCGACGGCCCGAGCGGCGTGAAAACTGACTTATGTACGGTTTTCAAATTGCGATAAAACATGATATAGAGGGAAATACCAAACCAAACTTGGCAGACTTATAGAACTTTTTGCGTTCTTTCAGGTGATATGTTCGGATTATAATAGAAATTCCAATTTCCTGGTTGAACATGCCATGAAAATGCCCCTGGTGTTTAACTTTCACTTTGGCCTCCCTACCTATGATTACTAGATCACCTCTGAATAGGTCTATGTTGCCAACACTGTCTGGGCTCAAAGTATTTTCTCTCAATGCCCACTTGGCAACCTATAAGCCAAAACCTAGGTTGCCCATCAATATTTCAGGTTGCCATCAACACTGACTGTCTATTTTAGAAGGCAAGCCATAAGCCAGGCTTCCTGTAACTAAAGCTCTGATGCCTTCCCCAGAAGTCAGTTCTGGCGTCGATACTGCCAGTTGGTAAGCAGACCTTAAATAGGCCTTTGCTCAGTTTCTAGACATTGTATTTTTATCCTAGACATTGTATTTTTATCCTAGACATTGTCTTTTTAGATACATGTATTTTGTGTTGTCTATGTTGTCTATGGGCTCTGCCTGAATCAAACAATAAATAAAATAAATAGATAAAGGTATCGCTGGCTCACATGCTGGCAAAGGCAGGACACGGTTTATTTTAGAAGCTGTTACTTTTACGCTGGGCAACCTGGCATCTTTAATAGGTCTCACATAGAAACCATCACTTGCGCGGCAAGAGTGGGCATTTTGAACCTGGGTACCGGCATATGTAAAAACAACAGAATTTTCAAATAGGACATAAACTCTACTTCAACATCAGGGCTCGAAATTTATTTTTGGGAATAGGTGCACTGGTGCACCCAACCAAAAAACTTAGGTGCACAAAAATTTTTTGGGTGCACCATATAAACAAAACCTAATTACACATCTTACTGGTCCTCTTCTGAGCTTAAATTTGAAATGCACTGAGGGCTAACTTCAAAATCTTAAACAAGTAGTACAAGAAAGATTTTATTATTTTTCTGACACTTAGATGTCAAGAATATCTTGTATACTACTATACATTTGATACGTACAAAAATACCTACAAAAATATTTGGGTGCACTGGTGCACCGGTGCAGCCAGAGAAAAAAATTGGGTGCACAGCACCAAATTTGGGTGCACTAAGGTGCAAATGCACCCAGTATTTCGAGCCCTGAACATCATTACTGTCTGCTCAGATTGGTTGTATGGAGCTTACGTGGAGGCTGTGATCCCGGTGTTCCAGCCGTGCCCGTGCCGGCAGGTGCAGGGGGAGTGCCGGTGGCAGAACCCTGGGCAGGTGCAGCTGAACCCTGTGTAGCTGCAGCCGAGCCTTGAGTAGCTGCTGCAGGTGCTGCAGCTGGGGCGGGGGGTGCAGCTGCGGCAGGTACCTCCATCGATGGGGGGAGACCCTAGGAACCACAACAACTGTATGAACACCTTTTTTCAGGGGTATCCCACTTCTGACACCATCTTACAGTAGAATTTGATTTAGTCAGGGACCGATGATGGCACTATGTTGGCACGTTCTAGAGTATAAGTTAGTACAGATATAGGGAAACTATACTTCAAGAGAGGTAACATTTGCAAAGCAAATGCATAATGTTAACCTTCGCATATGGTTTGCTTTGTTAATTCTCACTCACAAACACATTCACATACATGTACTACTAGTATATGGTGACAGGAGCAGAGCAGACCATGAAATTGCAACATTATGTAACCCAACACCAGTCACCATGGTGACAGGTATCAACAAATCATGTCATTGGTCAGGTCATAGGTCACTGTTTGGAGAAGAAGAGGAAGAAATTGAGCAAAAACAATATGTTTTCCTTCGGTAAACATAACTATGTGCACCTTCATTTTGCATAACAGTTACCACATAATAAGAACGAGCTGAATTGTTTTAATGAGGAAAAAATGTGAGGACACTGCCTTACCGTAAGAAGGTACTCCACAGCTCTGTCAGGGTTGTTAAAGCTTGCTCTCAGAGCAGCAACAACCTACATGAGGAAAAAAATAGTTATGTTTTCAAATAGCTCTTCCACTGAGTTACCTGCAAAAAGCATATTATAATGCAGTGCCTTGAAATTCTCACACTAGTATTCTCACACTAGTAGACTACCGAATGTCTAAAATAAAGTTTTTTGTTTCGGTCATCATTGAAGACCAAAGTAATTTTTCAGTCCTGCAGAGTCATTTTATTGTGGACTGTACTCTACATAATAATGAGAGAAAGATTCTCTTCAATTGTATACAACAAGATCATTTCCCTAGCTTTAGATAGAAAGGAAAAATTCACTTTCATCATGAAACTCGATAATCCTCATACTATAATCTTCATCTCTTCTTACATTTACAACTGTTTTAAGAAGCGAGAAGAAGCAGAACCTGTACATATGTAGTTTACTATAGATATATTTTAGTCTACCATCGCTATTTACCATAACATGTACTTAAATTGAAATGAGCAAAAAAACATACAATAAAGGTCTTTCATTCATTCTTAAACCTCTTTATCAGTCTTGTACCTGACATTATGTTTAGACACATAGCCCTACACGTGTAGGTATGGTTTTTAATTTTTTTACACCTCACCTGGTCTCTTTCGAAGCCCATTGACATCATGTTCTGTACCATTGTTTCATAGGCTGTGCCAGTCACTGGGTGGGAGATATGAAGAGACATGCAAGTTTTAAACAGTGATTCCATGCATTTCAATATCTTTCTTGCAAATGTTGTTTAGTCACACATCACTGCACCAACATCTAGTTGCACACTTTTTAGAAAAATTTTTTTGAGCGAAAATGGATTTTAAAACACTAGTACTAACTCACAGTGTATTAAGTTTTATGCGCTTATCTGTCACAGTGGCAAACACTAGAATTGTTCAAACATGTTGAAATGACCAAGATTCAACCTCCAAAGCCATCATCATGAGGAACAATAGATTCTTTGCCTTGTAAGCCATGACAAGACAGGTCAAGTCAAAGGAGCAAAGAAGCATGACTTAAATGGAAAACGCTTGTAGTTAGTGATGCATACCGATTCACTGGACTTGGATCCGGACTTGTAAGAATGTTTAGGCTCAAGTAAAAAAAAACCTAAAAGTCAACAACCGAGTCCGGACTTACTACCATAAACGACCATTTCACAAACCCCTTTTCTTTCCAAACCACCTCAAACCTTCCATAGATTGCAAAATCTTTGCTGCAAAACAAAGAAAACATTGCCATCGGGCATCGTCAAGTTCAGGCCTCCATGTTATGTGGCCAAAGTTTCACTCACCCAGACAACATTGCAAGGTTGCCATTTTTGTATGCAATTTTGTATATGCCATGGGTTTAGGTCCAGACTTACAAGTCCGGACCTGAACCTAAACCTCTGGACTTGAATCCGGACCTGAACCTAAATGTGGGTTTAGGTATGCATCACTACTTGTAGTACAACTAACTCAATAGTAGGCATCATCACAGTAATGTTGGACTGATGATTTACAATGTCATTTTGTACTTCAGTTTTAGATGTATGGAAAAGCCAAAGGAATCATCCAAACCGATACCTTCAAACTTAATAAAAAAAAGAAAGAGGCAAAGGTCATAAGCAGGGCTCAAAATTCATTTTTGATATTTGAATTTATATATATACACAGGTGGACTAAATCCAGACCTAAATATTTAGTGCACCAGAAAACCAGCTACTTGGTAACACAGAAAAGGTTTACCCCCGGTAGGTGCACAACATAAAATAAAGTAGAATGTCAGCAAAACCTAATCGCAAACCTCACAAAATTTAAAATTCAATAGCTAATCTCACTTCTGGTTTTATTTCTTTTCTAACACTTAGATATCAAGTATATGTTGTATACTAAGTTTTTACATAAACATACACAAATATCTAGATGCACCAGTGCACCTACATAATGCTGTTAAGAGTCCAAAATTTGGCAAATTGCTGTACAGCTCCAACAAAAGTTCATATTTATATATCATAAGCACCAGGCCTTTCGAGCCCTGTAAACGGCATAATTAGCAAAGTAAAAGATACATCTTTCTGGTTGGCTATCAATAGTGATGCATACCGGTTCACTGGACTAGAATCCGGACTTGTAAGAATGTTTAGGTTCAAGTCCAAAAAAACCTAAAAGTCAAGAACCGAGTCCGGACTTATTACCATAAAAGACCATTTCACATACCCCTTTTCTTTCCAAACCACCTTTAAGTAAAACCTTCCGTAGATTGTAAAATCTTTGCTGCAAAACGAAGAAAACATTGCCATCGGGCATTGTCAAGTACCTGCCTCCATGTTATGTGGCCAAAGTTTCACCCAGACAACATTGCAAGGTTGCCAACATGCAATTTTGTATATGCCATGGGTTTAGGTCCAGACTTACAAGTCCGGAACTGAACCTAAACCTCTGGACTTGAATCCGGAACTGAACCTAAAATTGGGTTTAGGTATGCATCACTAGCTATCACAGAAAGGCACTCTTCTGTTACATTTGTAGTAGAAAAAGAAGGTGAGTAAGTGTCTGCTGCAAACAAACTGGTCACACCCACTGCAAAGGACGAGGGTAAAAAAACTTGCACTCATGCCAGAAAAGGAAGGAGAGTGCACTAACTTTGGAAGGGGGCATACTGCGCCATGTCAGCTACAATAGAAACAGTAGGATTTAGAAAAATATGCACAGAATGGCAAGGATCTAAGATGCAATTCCTTAGTTAAAGAACGCTGGCATCTTAGAGGACATTAATCTTAAGTTAAGTCCTTTGATAAAGGATATGACAACAATATGTTGTTGCTTTTATTTCCTACAGCAACTATCAAAAGTTACACAGCTAAAGAACAAACTGTTCTAAAGCTAAGAGCATTAGTGAGTTTGAGCAAAAGTTGGTGCAAAACTGTCCATTCACTGGTCAATGCTCAAACAAATAAAATTTCATAAACGATAGCAGGATTCTAGAATCCAATATACTACATGAGATGTAAACGTTTTTTTTCCGACTTATGCTAGCAATCTCCTCATCTGAGATCTGAGGTCAATGTTGTGCTACGTTCTAGGAAAGGCCACATGTGAAAGATAACATGGGATCTGCCCACCTAATGTTGACTCTGCCTGTGCCAGAGATGAGCTGGAGGGCCCAGAAGCAGGTGCTGTTGTTGGTGCTGCAGTTTCACTGAGGAAAAAACAAATATTTTCCATTAGGCCACAACAATTTAATTTCTTGGTTAACACATTTTTCTAAAAAAATAATGGAGCGGGCTGGCAAAAAAAAAATAAAAATAAGAATAAATGGTACGATAGCTGCCATGAAGTTAACACACCAGGCTGGTTCAAAATTTAAACAATGAATTTTGAACTTTTAATGATACCACTGCATTGAAAGATGGAATAACTGTAACAACTAGGAAAACTGTTCAGGGCATAATATGAGCACTATGAGGTTGATTCTGAGCTTTTTATTTTTTTTTGCAAATCAGAAAAAAAAGAAGCAGGCGAATCTGTTAACCAAGAAACTAAATTGGTGTGACCTTAGGCCTAGAAAAAAAATGCTGTGTTTCCTGTTTCAGTCTTCAAAAACATTAGGTTTGGTAGGTAGGGATTCCTTTTTTTCTCTTTTCTTTAGACTTTGGCGATTTCAAGTGATCCAAAATTAATTATACAATAAAGTTTAACAAAATAAAAGTTGCATGAGGACACTTTCAATGTCAATGTTAGAAAACTGATTGTATATTTCATCATTCTGGTGTCAGATCATAGAGCTAGAAAAGGTCTATCAGCTCGAAAAATTTATGTCCCTTCGAGGGTCCACCCAAAAAAGTCTTGTTGGCAGTTTTTTCTAGGGTGGCCAAAAAAAGGAAATAACATTTTTTTCTAGGCCTTACATTTAATCATGTTAAAACTGACCAGAGGTAAAATACTGAAAGTAGCAGTATAAAAAAAAGTTTCTTTACTCAACAACTACAGATTTTCATGTCACTGTCTCAGTGTCTGTTACCTCTTTCAGTACAACAATGGCTGTTTCTGCTTCATACTTCATACTTTAGCTAAGTGTTACAGTAATTCTGTTGCCCTGAAGAAGGTGACAGATATTGGATGTGGAAACCCATGGTTGGTAAATAACCTTCTTATAGTTATACAGCCTCTCGCCAACCTGATGAAATTATTTATGGACTGATAAGGTACCAAACATTATATCATACCGGGGCCGCGATAACGTTCGATAACGGGTCCCGGACCGGGCCGTACTTTACGGTTTTGCCCTAAACGCGTGGGCCACTTTCGAAAATTCGAATACAGAATCCGAACGTTGGAACTGATGTTGTTGCATTTTAGGGTTTATGGGCAGCAACTTTTGGCTCATATTGCATTGGATTTTCTTGGGTGGGTATGACAAATAAAATGCAACACGGTGTATTCCGCATTGCCCTTGGTCCTGGCCCTCCCACGAGTCAGATCACCCGACGACCGCATCCGACCCGCGGTCGGGCCGATACCTCGGGCGATACAGAATACCCCATGTTGTATTCTATATATACAGCTTTTGCTACCTCAAACCTGTAATAGCTGCATACAAGTATCAAGAATCTTTTCCCAACCTGGGCTGTGCAGGTGTAGTCTCCTGTTTCTCTTCTTCTTTCTTCTCTTCTTTCTTTTCCTCCTCCTTGGGTTTCTCCTCTGTGGGCGTGGCAGCAGCTGCAGGTGCGGGTGTGGCTGCAGGTGCGGCCGCAGGTGCTGCCTCTGCCTTTGGGGGTTCCTCTTTGGCTGCAGGCTTGGGCTGGAAAATTGCATACACTCTGTAAGGCTACACTACTGCTTCTTACTGTTGTTGTTTAGGCCACACCAATTTAATTTCTTGGTTAACGGATTCGCCCACTTCATTTTTTTCTGATTTGCAACAAAAATCAGAATCAACTGCAAAATGCTTATATCTTGCCCTGAACAGTTGAAAACAGTCCTTTTCTTCCTAGTTGTTACAGTAAGTCCATCTTTCAATGCAGTGGTATCAATTTCATTGTTTAAATGTTGAACCAGCCTGGTGCGTTGACATTACAGCTTCTATCGTACCATTTTGGGCCATAGTAGGATGCCTAGCCTGTTTTTATTGTTTATTTTATTTCGCCCGCCCGCTCCATTATTTTTCTAGAAAAATCCGTTAACCAAGAAATAAAATTGGTCTGGCCTCCTTAGGCCTAGGAAAAAAATGTTCTGTTTCCTGTTTCCTAACAGACTCTAGAAAAAACTGACAACCTTAGCCTTTTTGTGTGTGTGGACCCTTGTTGCAAGGGACATAAATTCTTCGAGCTGATCGACCTTTTCTAGCTCCATGATCTGACAACGGAGTGATAAAAATGTTGTACAATCGGTTTTCCATCATTGACATTGAAACTACATTGTATAACTATAAGTGTCCTAATACAAGTTTTACTTTGTCAAACTGTGCCTAAGTTGGATCACTATGCATGTATAGAGATCACCAAAGTGTAAAAAAAATGAAAAAAATGAAGACAATGCCTACCTACCGACCCTACTGAAACAGGAAACACATTTTTTTCCTAGGCCTTACAAAAGGTAGCACACACTGGCTTGTACATTTCATTGTGTAACAATCTATTCACTCTTTGTTTATGGACACGTATTCACTATTCGGATGTCGTCTATTTGACAAAAAATGCCCCCCACATCTGCTTGGAGTGTTCCCCACCTTTGTCACCATGACGACGACAAAGTTCTTCTCGTCGATCTTGTACTGCGACAGCGGGAGGTCATCCTGCAGGATCTTCCCTGTGGGAAATAGATTACCGTAAATCCACGCACTTTCACTGTGGTTTAACTTCTCTAGGAGGAAAATATATTCAAGAGGTGAAATGATTTTGTATTACATTCACTGTGTCATCAATTTGCAGTAGAGAGGCCAATACAAAAATGGTGAAAATAGAAAAACAAAAGTGGTATCACGATTTAAAACTAAAGAACAGTACATTTGTATTTTGAAGTTGTTAATCTAGCCTAATTGAAGCTGGTGCGCCGAAGAGCGGTTCAACTTATACCAGCTACATGTATACAGATACAGAAATCTGTCTAGTGACCATGCAAATTTTCCAAGCAAGTTATACTTTGAAACTAATATGTATGCAACACACATTGCATCATATTTTTGCTATCATGATCTGAACCATGCAAGAATTTCAGAACAACAGTTCATGTGCACAGTTGAGCAGCAGAAAGACATTTAATGTGAAATTTTTAATATACAGCATGTCATATTTTAACAATAGCATACATTTGTACATACCTGTGCAGTGCACAACATATTTCATTCCTTGTACTGTATAAAATACACTCACTCACTATCCAATACAAATCTAATAAAAATAATTTTACTGTTAAAGAAATGAGCACGTCGGCAGAACGTCCTGCACCTGCGCGAAACCCGTAATGTATTGTGCATCGTACTTCGGCAGGACGTCTCATATAAGGTCGTATTCGCGCATATAAGGTTTACAAGTCCCCCAAC